AGGTAAATTCTAGAAAATCTGAGAATGTGTAAGGAACTGAAGAGGAAATGAAGATTATTTGTAACCCAGAGATACCAACTGTTAAACATTTTAAGGTCTATCGTTTGAACTTGTCTATGAATTTATTATAAAATTGGGTTTACAGTGTACATTGTGTGTGTGTGTGTGTGTGTGTATAGGTACACGTGCCTGTGTGTACTGAGGCTGGAGGCCAACTTTTGGAGTTGTTCCTGGATCTTCCTTGTTTTTTGGAGACAGTCTCTCAGTGGCATGGGGCTACCAGCTAGGCCTGGCCAGTGAGCCCCAGGGCTCTGCTCCAAGCTGTCTGTCTCCTCATAGCTGGGTTACCCGTGTTTGTCTCCAAGCTCAGCTTCTTATGTGAGTGCTGGGGATTGAACTCAGGTCCCCATGGTTTCACAGAACACAGTTTCCTGTCTGAGTTATCTCTTCAGTACATTGTTTTCAAAAGTAGCCAATATGTCCTGAGTTTAAGAAACAGAAAATAAAAGAAAAACAATTAAGGTCATTACCAATCTTAATCATCCAGAGGCAGCATTTCTTTCCACCTTAGTTTATAGTTGTGACAGTCAGTTTTAATATACCCTTAGATCTATTTTGCAAGAATCTAAATCGGACTTAAAAAAACAAAAACAAACAACAAAAAAAGGAAAAAAAATACGTTCTTCTTCTTATCATTTAGATTATCCCATAACAGTATATGCTCATTGTTTTCTGCTGGGAAATACTTCATCATTTTCTGGAAGCAATCTCCAACCTCTCCTCTCCCTTCCCTTAACACATTCAGTTCATATGGTTCCCATGGGAGAAGCCATGTTCTTCCAAGAACATGAGTGTGTATTTTGGTGGAATTACTTCTTAACCCTGAAATTGTTAAAAAGAGGACATGTGCTTTTTAAAACAGATTTTGACGGGTACCGTTAAACTCTTTCAGAGAAGTGGTTGCAATTTGCATCCCTGCAGTCATGAGAGTGCTCATTTCCCAGTAGGACCAAGGACAGAATATTGTGAAACTTTGTCTGAAAGTATTGAGTGTACACTGTACCAGGCAGCAGGCTAAGGGGAAGCCTGACTATCACCCAAGGAACGAAGTACTGTTGCTGCTTTGCAGCTGAGGGAGCTGTTTTTAAGAGCTTAGCCTGCCTCAATTCTAGGAACCAAGTCAAATCCAAGCCAGGACAGTCCAACCCCAGTCTATGTCTTTCCAGGCTCTCAGGCTTGTGTCTGTCAGAATCACGCTGGGGACTTGCAAAAAGTTGTCTGGGCTACCTTTGGTTTCTCCTTCAGTAAGTGTAGGGTGAGAATGGCATGGGATTCTGTGGTGGAGGAACCACACTCTGAAAGCTATTGATCTTATTACCCTATTATGGGACTCTACCTGGACATGGCCATGCTAAACTTGGGTGGGTCTGCATCTAAACCCTACACGTGTTATATAAACTCTGCACACGTGTAAACAGAGACTTTCCTGGTCTTCTCAACATTTCAAGTAAGGCTTGTGGTGATATCACTTCTTTCTTCTTTTCTGGTGTGTGTGTGTGTGTGTGTGTGTGTGTGTGTGTGCACTTGTGTGTGTTGAGGCCAGAGGTCGATGTTGGGTATCTTACCTGGATTGCTCTCCAACTTTATTTTCTGCCAGGTTTCTTGCTGAACCTGAAGCTCATCCATTCGGCTAGGCTGACTGGCCAAAGAGATTCAGACTCTGTCTCTGCCTCCTCAGCACCAGGGTTACAGGCACACCCTGCCTTGCCTGGCATTTTACATGGGTTTTGGGGAGCCCAACTCAAGTCCTCACGTTTGTGTGGCAGGCACTTTACTGACTGAACCATCTCCCGTGCCCCCCCCCGCCCCGAAAACTTTCTGGCTGCTCTCACTTCTTTAGGACTGTTTTCCCACCTTTTAATAGAGAAGATGCTCAGATGAGTGTTCGAGGGAGTTACAGGGAATGTGTGTAAACCACTCCAGGGAGACTATAAAATACTATGCCAAGACTAGTTACAATTATCCTATGGATATGGGAACTGTGCAACAGTGCAAAGTACTGTGGAGCTGGTTGAAGCTCTGTGACTGACACTAAACCTGCCAGTCCACTTTTCTGATCTTCGCATTTCTTTTCGTTAGGAACAGGGATAGTATATGCTCCAGGGTTAAACAGCCCACGGAGCCCCTAGCGATTTCCTGTTCTAGGAAAGGCTGGCTGTAAAGCAATGGTTACAGTTTGATAGGCACCACTGTTCCTCCCTTACATCCTTAGGGATAATGCTCCTTTTCAGCTGTCCCAGAAGAACTTAATATTCCATCTTTTTTTCACATCTTAGTTACAACTTCTCTTTGACACAGAGTAGATTTCTTTCCACATCTGGATAGGACATGGGTGCACTTCTGCAAAAGGTAGAGCCTGAACCTAGTCACCACATGAACATTTGGATAGTACCGGTTATTTTAGGTGATAGACATATGCCAGTGGAAAGCAGAAATCCCTGTCCTTGGAAGCTTGTTGATGGTATGTCCCCAAGTATGTCAACACTGATCCCTGAAGCTTTCTTGGAAGCTGGTGAGGGATAAATATTCAGTTAGAAGATCACAAAGTATCTTCAAGTTGACCTAAAGCCTACTGATGATCTCTGGGATACCAGAAACGTTGCTAAAAAAATTTCAAGTTCTGATGGTACCTGATGATTCTAGCATAGTAGGTTGAGGTCTGGTTTAAGAATTTGCATTTCAGCCGGGAGTGGTGGCACACACCTTTAATCCCAGCACTTGGGAGGCAGGTGGATCTTTGTGAGTTCAAGGCTAGCCTGGTCTATATTGTGAGTTTCAGGACAGCTGGGGCTACAAGGAGACCCTGTCTCAAAAACAGACAAAAAAAAAAAAAAAAAGAATTTGCATTTCTAACAAGCTTGGGTGCTGCTGGTCTAGGGACCATGCTTTATGTAGGTTAAAATGATCCCTTACATCATTACCATTGATAGAACTGGTTTTCTTCAGCATTTAGTAAAATCCTGAACACACAGAAGAAAACTTTTTGTTAGCACCTTATGGTTATCTATGCTTTAGACAGAACTGTAGATTTGGGCAACAGATCTGGGCTCTTGGGATGGTTTCAAATGATCAAAACAGTCTTGAACACCCCTCTTCCCCCACATCACAGGAAGCCTTCGCATTCCCATCTGGGGTAGGGGTGGGCAGTGTACCCTCCTTCAGCTTTCCTTTGTGCCAGACTTAACTGCTTGACATTATTAAGGGATGGATTCAGGCATCTCTATTTGACCACTCTGATACTTTCAGTTATCTCTGAGGAAGTTGTCAGGGTTCTGAAATCTTACCATCAGCAATGATACACTAGCATTTTGGATGCATATGCCCACCCCCCAAGATAACATTCCGCAGGAAATCATTTGATGTGCCAGAGACCATGTTAATTCCTGCACAAGGATTAACTTTAATCTTAACAGTGACTTTAGAAGGCAGATTTAACTTTTCCAAACATTCAAACCAAATTCTCTCTCTCTCTCTCTCTCTCTCTCTCTCTCTTTCTCTCTCTCTCTCTCTCTCACACACACACACACACACACACACACACACACATTCTGAAGGTCACAGTGTTGTAGTTTAGATCTGGAATGTTCCTCAAAGGCCCATGTGTTCAAGAACTGGTTTCCAGAGTGGCACTGTTGGGAAGTGAAACCTATAAAAGACAGGGTCTAGTGGGAGGTCTCTAGGTCACTGCAGACATGCCACTGAGGAGGACTCTGGGACCTCGTCTTTTCTCTTTACTTCCTGATGGGGTGAACAGTGTTCTCTGCCACATGCTCCTGTCACTGCCATCTGGCACCCTTACCAGATGCCTACAAGCAATGGGTCCATCTGATCACAGACTAGAACTAGGAAAACCATGAGTCAAATAACCCTTTTCTTTTTATTGGCTGGCTACTTCAGGTATTTCTTACAGCGATTGAATGCTAATATATACAGAGATTATCATTAGCTCAGAAGCATATATTTTATACATGGATACAATAAAGATTGGGCCCAGCTTTATCTGACTCTGTGTAAAAACACAACCAAAGAGGTTTAAAGTGCTCAGCTCTGGAACTGGCAAGATGACTCAGTGGGTAAAGGTGCTTGTGGCTAGGGCTGATGACCAGAGTTCAACCACTGGGACCACATGGTAGCGAGAACTGACTCCCACAAGTTGTCCCTACTTGCACTGCCACACAAGAGCACAAGCACACGCACACACACACACACACACACACACACACACACACACACATAAATGTAAAAGAATGTAAAGTGCTCAGCTCCATATTGCCATTAATGAAGCACTTTCCAACCTCAAATCAGAATGTCTGTTAACGACAAATGTCAGTTCCATGCTTGAATCTGGAAAATGAACAAACTTACCATCATCCTACACAGTGGTGTTAGCCACTGATGTTGGTAGCAGAACTCATTTCCCTTCTAGGCTCACAATTAAGTGACTTATACTGTGTAGGGCTTGGGGGCATGTGCCTCTGTGTACAGTAGTCTCTTATTTGTTCCTCCATTTTTTATAGTTTCTTATTCATTATTTATTATTGTCCAAAAGGGTCAATGGAAAATTCCAGAACTAAAGAATTCATAAGTTTGAAATAATTTTCATGATAGCACATTGCTACACTTGTTCTATTTTTATTGCCAGCTATCACTATTAACCTTGATGTGCCTAATTTATAAATTAAATTTTATTGTAGTTATGCACATTTGGAAGAAAACCTACTGTACCATGTGGTTCAGTTTCAGTCTCCATTGGGGGTCTCGGACCATGTCTGCTGTGGAAAAGGGTTACAATTGTGAGGGTTATGAAGGTGGAAGATTAGTAGATCACTCCAAATAGAAATATATTATTTGTTGATGGGATAATACAATATCTTTTCATTAAAAGTTATTGTCTGGTAGATTAGGTACCATTGGTTAACACTCAAACTCTGTCCTTTACATACAAATTAAAGAGAGAATTTATTTTCATTCTGCATTTATTTAACATTTCATCCAGTTGAACTGAAATAATACATTGACTCTGACAGTGGCAAGACACCGTGTGCTAATACTGATAACTGCCAGTCAGCAAATACAATCATAGCTATCATGTTAATAGAAATACTAGTATCTATTCACTCTTACACCTTATTGCACTGAATATGATTTTTCTCCAGAAAAGGTATTCTTAAATGATGAGCAAAGATTGCCAATTTTAGTTCATTTGTTCTTTTTTTAAAGTCATGATTAAACCATACAGTGAATATTCCTATACAAAAGCATTACGAGTCTCAAGCTTCTGTAAGCACATCTGAAAGCACACAGCTTCACATCCATTGTACCCTTTAGAAATACACTTTGGCCTGTCTTCCCAGCGTGTGACATTTTGGTGAGTTTCCTATCTCCCAACTAGTCACTAAGTTATCAGAGAAAGTTAACATTCTTAGAGTCACACATTAACTGGGTGAGGATTCTGAGATCACCTGGGTAGTGGGTCAGGCCTCAAGGACTTTAGCTTCATATTAAAATGCCCTTTAAGCACTTCATGGAGATCTGCCTTGGACTTCAGGCTTTTATCACCGTTTAACAAGAAGCACTGATGGATAAAGCCCAGAGTAAATAAGCAAGCCTGCCACAGCTCAGTGTACATGATGGCTGTGCTTATATTAATAGTTCCCAACACAGGGGAAGCCATGTACTTCAAGCAGCCTGGCAGCCAATCTACAGGAGAAGATTCTTGTTAATGAGGGAAGGCCGAGAGCTTCAGATCCCTTAACCCTTTCAAACAAAAGAGAAATGCAGACACAAGGCACACACACTATTTTCCTTTATGAGGAAATTCAGTCTGGACACACTGTTAGGGAAAAAGGTCTATCAAAACTAGATAGTTTCTTTTTTTTTCCACTCACAAATCTAAGAATTACAATGCTTTATGCTCAGTGAAACTGTCTTGTCTACGAAAGAGAACATCTACAGACTTTAAACATGACCTGTGTTACACTGAGTGAAATCCCTACAGATGCGACAGTGCCACTGGGTCTCATAGTCTTCAGACAGGGTAGGATCCAGCACAGCACTCAAGCAAAGCTCACCTGTACTGGCACCTTCACATACTATTTCTGTATCTTTCTGACCAGGAACTGTGGTCTCACTTCAAAAAAAACAAAAAAACAAAACAAAACAAAAAAACAAAACTCAACAAACCACTCACCCCAGTCATACAGCACTCCTAAAACCTGGCATTTGTATATTTAAGTTACTTAATTATTTGATGTAAATTAGTGAGTGTCAAGTCACTAGCTACAAAGTCAACCAAGAGAATTCAGCAATATGAACCCATGTTAACTGTGAACTGCAGGGAAGGCTTCATGCTCTGGTCTGTGGCTGCTGACTTCTAGAAGGTGCATGGAGTATTTGCCCTAAACACTCCAAACCTTCACTCTCCATCTACTTTGGGCTGGTTCATTGCCAAACTGGAAGCAAAGTTTCCTTAGTATTTAAACTTTTATATTTAGCCTTACAACTTTTGTGTTTTCCTAGTTCACTGCTGAGACCTCTTTGATTGGAACAGAAGAATGAAATCCAGTATTTGAACAGATACGCTTTTCACTGATTGTTAATCAATAAATGTTTACTGAGCATATGTCCAAGGCACCTAGTCTGTGCCTACCAGTGATTTCAAAAGCCCCAGGTGAGGGCTGGAATGTTGCCTTTGAAAAAGTTTCATTAAAATCTATGGAAGGGTAGTTTTGTAAATTACATGATTCAAATGTAAGGGAGGCCCATGTTCCCTGTCAAGTTCCAGGCCTGCACTGGGTGCTGTGTTATGCAGGAAACAGCTTGACTCTAATGCAGCTCTTTAAGAGACTTTGTAACTGGGAGCACCCCAGTCAAATGGGATTTCCTCACTGCTGCACCTGAGGGAGGTTCAGAGCTGGCAGGAGAAGCCCTCCGGTTCTTTTTCCGCTTCACAGGCCCTTGTTAAAGTACACCCGACACAATTCAGGATGACTCTTTCGGATGCTGGCTTGCAACTCGTCCTCCAAGCTTGCCACGGACATGGAACTGGGACAAGGGACAAAGAACATGGTTATCACATGGGCAGAGACAGGAGCCACAGCTAGGAAGAACATGGAGAAATAGGTGAGGAGACCCAGGGCTGGTGCATCAATATACCACAAGAAACGCTTGACATGGCTACAAAGCGAGGGCCCTTGTTCCTTCCAGAAAAACAGTTGTCACTAACAAAGAAGCTAAAGAACCCAACTGCTAACTCTTTCTTTCTCCCTTAGTATGAGTTGAAAACTGTGTCACTGCTGGTAAGAGTACATGGCAATAACATCTGTAGACGCTTCGTGACTCAAATGCTGAGATTACAGATGGTGTGGCACCACACCTGGCTTTCTTTTCTTTATATGAACCTTTTCTATTGTACTTTCTTTTTTTAAAAAAAAATATTTTGTGGGGCTGGAGAGATGGCACAACAGTTAAGAACACTGGTTGTTCTTGCAAAAGACCCGGGTTTGAATTCCAGCACCCACACGGCAGCTAACAACAGTCCGTAACTCCAGTTCCAGGGGATCCGACGGCCTCTTCTGTCCTCCTCAGGCATTTCATGACATGGGTGTACTTACCTACATGTAGGCAATACACTCATACACATAAATAAATCATTTTTAAAAATATTTTATTATTTTTATTTTATGTGTATGAGTGTATTGCCTGCATGTATTGCCTGCACATATATGCAGCCAACACTTTTATCTGCTGAACCACTTCTCCACCCTGTATTTTCTTAAATTGAACAGTAAGTATGCAGATTTTAAGTCACTCTAACCTGCCTAATGTAAACATTTAGTTATAAATTTCTTCAAACAACACACTGCAGCTTCTCACACACTGATCAAGGAATGTGTTCATGCATTCATGCAAGAAGCTGGATAACTGACATACTCAGTGAATTTGTATAGTAGTAAAAATGAAAGAACTATAGTTATATGCAATAACGTGGATGTTTTGATGCTGAATAAGAAGAACAAGTACCAGAAAAATACAGATAGCATGATAACTTTGTCTACAAAGCCCTAATAAAGAAACACTAAAGCATGCATAAACATACATTTACAAACACACACACACATAATGTACACACACATGAGAATCCAAATAGTAGCTCAGGAAAGGAAGCAGAGAAACAGGTGGGGAGGAGCCCATATAGATGCAAATTACTGGTAGTGTTCTTATTCACTGGACAGTGGATTAATGGATGCTCATTATATTATCAAAATAAATACAGTATAAAATCTAGCCATGTCCACACTGATCAGGGCAATCTGCTGTGAACCAGCTGAAGACTACACAAAAAGAAATACACAGGCCAAAACCAGACCAAGAAACCTCTTTAAATGGGAAAAAATAGTGAGACAAAATAGCGCTGGTTTCCCAAATGTAAACTCATGTACCCTCAAGAGTGCTGACCCCGCGACATTAGTAGATCTAGAAGACTTTTCATTTGTATACCTAGACTTTAAATGAATTAGGAAAAATAAATGTTTCTTCTTATAGCTTTCAAAATCAAGGGCCAAGAAGGAAGCTTCTTTAGGAGTATTAAATCTAAAATCATTTTACTTGCAGAACATTCTAGAGAGCATTTGGTGTTGCCCCTGGCATTTTACACACATCGTGTCTAAGTCACCAAGTTTAAGGGCAGCTGCCAAGCACAGCATTCTTAGTTAAGCCGTGAGAATCTGTGGTTTGTACAATTAAGCAGGCACGATCGCTCTACTTTAACAATGAGGAAATATCAGAATATAAGCAGAACTCTCCAGACAGGGCTGCTCTGCAGACACCAAAGTCGAATCTACCGAACACCATGGAGTCAAAGACCGCAGAAGAGCAGCAAGGGCAGTCTGAGGTGGAGGTTTGTGAGGAAGTTAGTTCTAGAACAGAAGATTTCACTCTAAACCCTCTCTGGGGCTAAGACCTGGGTGCTTGGGAAGGAAAGGCGAATCCAACGGCAAGGGCACCGCACCACTAAAACAAGACCCCAAACAAAACACTGCTTTCTTTGTGCCTTGGTGTAAGGTTCAGTGTAAGCAGGAGACCTCGATCCCCACAGTGGTCACTAGTGTCAGCCAGCCCAGTGGCACCAAAGCAGAATTCAGGGGAGCTGGTGATGAAAGACACATGCACAACACAGTTTTGAAGGAAAATGAAGTGGAGTGAAGGGAAGTGCAGACAGTGGCTATCCAGGCTGAGCGCAGAGCTGCTGTGGGCACAGAACTTGGATTTGAACAGAGGAGCACGGCAGCTGTGCTTGCCTGGGGACTAGATGACGACTGCACTGAAATTTATAAAAGCAATATGCACCAGAGCGAACCTGACTGTACAAAGGCTCAAACGTTTTCAAGTTTAACAGTAGGGGGTAGAAAAGAGCTGTGGACAGCGAGTTTTGAAGTTCCACACATTTGAGTTTGTTTTCTGCCTGTCTCTGGTCTCTCTTACAGATGCTGACTTCACTGGCCTTTTAAATTCCAACTGCTTATCACAGATCAGATAACTGAATCTGCGTCGGTCTCCAGCCTGTTATTAGGATCAAAATTCATAAGAATTCTGAAAAATCGCTACATACCTTTTCTGAGGAAACAGAGCACAGCACAGGGGAGTGGCAAACACTAAACTTAAAACAAAACAAAATAACAGATCAATAACAGATCAACATGTTCAAATGGTCACGTCTCTGCTTCCTCTTTAAAAAAACATAATCTCTGTCTTTAGCTAGAGCATTAGATTGTCTTATAAATATGTCCTGTTTAATTTTTATCATCTCTGATTGCCGAAATGAGAACCATCAAACAAATAAAAGCAATAAAAAGAGTAGTAACTGGAATTTACAAAAGAACCCCCTAAATAGCCCTACATGCTGTAGGTCCCTCAGAGACACTTTGCTTCCAGTTACTGGGACAAGTTCCAGATGTTCTGAGTTGGTCTCACTCCTAAAACTTCTCACCCATATAACTCAACCTTTCATCTGCACTTACAAAAAAATTATCTAAAAGTAATTTCTATGCTAACTACCCTGATTTATCATGACATGATATACATGCACTGAGTATATCTTTGTACAATTAAAATACAGTACTTATTTTTTAAAAAAGGTAATTTCCACTTACCAAAAACCAACTAAGGTGACTTGAATAGGTGCGCTCATCCACGGGAACCTCTGTATTGCGAGAGAAATGACTGTGAGTCCTTTTCATGTGGCTTGAAGACAATTTCTGCTGCTGATGAACTAGAAGGAGCTTTTCCACATCACAAGAGCTGATGCAATGTGGTTAGTAAAATCCAGGGTAACACTACAGCACGGGTTAGTCCCGACCTAACAGTCCTGAGCTATGAATGAACACACATGCAAAGATCAAGCAACATCTACTGGTTCCCCTGAGTGCTGCCTACCTGTGTACAAGAGGTAGAGAACCAGCTAGCATTTAATTATAGCTTATCTCCTACTAGGGTGGCAGGAGAGCCTAATGCGCAAGACTGAAGGCACATAACTTGCACCAAGTCCCTGCCTCACCGACACTAATGGACTATGTGGAAAAGGTAGGTAGAGCACGGGCTTTGTTTCCTTGTAGGACACAAGATGAGCAGAGCCTCCAAGAGTGAGGATGAAGACAAGCCAGAAACAGTTACAAAGCTCCTAGGACAGGGCTGGAGCATGGCAGGAACCCAGAAAACACCATCCTCCACCCACTGGTGCATTCTCTGTCATAGTGTTAGTTGCTGTCAGTATGGTTAACTAGTCCTGGAATAAAATAATCTTTGCTAGTCATGAATGAGTTGGTTGGTCTTTGGGAAAATAGTGTTAGATTTTTAGCTTTCAAAAAGGAGTGTAACCAAATACACTATAAAAAGTGATGAGGTACAGGGTTATCTAAATAGGGCCACAGAAACTGCCCTGCAACCGAGTTGTGAATTGGTTGGGATGTAATCAGCTACTGTAGTTACACGTCAACACAAGCTGTTAGAAGATAACATGCATGTGGGCCATACCCTGGTATCCGAGGAGACTCCTCTGGTGAAAGGGAACATCAGGAGGGTCAACATAAAGAGGAAAAGAGGGACTGGAGAGGAAGGGAGAAATGTCATCAACAGGAAACTGACCCACCCAGCCTATGCTTAGGGTCCCTAACCTAAAAGATAGAAAAGAGGAAAATACAGTCCTTTGCCGCTTAAGGACAGGATACATCCTGAGAAAGGTAGCCTTGGGCAAGTCTGTCTGGGCACTGTGAAGCATGCCAAGCTAAGGTCAGTAGGCTGCATGAGCTCATCATACATGGTCCTCCTACTGCTATGTGGCACATGAGTGTTCTCCATCCTGAACTACTTAATAAAGGATTTTCATAGGGAGATGATCAATTCTCATCTGAGATACTCCTAGACCTGTGAAACCTAGGCTGGCACATAGCTGGACGGGAATGCAAGCTAACTGCTAAGTGAGATCTGATGGTGGGTGAACTTGAGCCTGTAAGACAAGTCTCCTCATTTCAAGTGGCTTCTTGTCTGCTTAAGTAAACTGAGCCAGTCTGTTAATGTAAAAGAGAGCATCCATGTGTTATGTCAGGACAGACACGCACAAATTAAAGGTCAACTTTGACAGAAAGGTTCCTTGTAATGACAAAGGCCCTAACTTGCAAAATGCAACCTACGACGAGCCCTATTCCTGACTGTCTCCAGCACCTCATCCTATCTGCTCCTCCCAACTTCTCAAACAGAATTTGGTTTAAGGCCCAGGAATGGGTGAACTGAGGATGTTCTTTCACTAGATACAATTCCTCAAGGTTGGGGCATGTTTTACTTAGCTGACTGAAAAAGAAAATACATTACATGAACAGTTCAAATTAATTAAAGCCAGCATACTAAGACATGTATCTTTTCCAGTGATATAGCTTGGAATATATTGATATAGATATGTATCTCAAAGTTAATAAAACTCTAGTCTTCCCCCAATGACACTGTTTTCAGTAGCTTTACTGGCGTCTGATCAACTACACATCTCAAATGTTCTTCATGTTCCTCATGTCCCTTTGGGAGTCTTCTCTTCTGTTCCCTGGAAAAGTTGTGGCTCCACTGTCACCATACATTAGTTTGTTTTCTAGGGTTTTACTTTTTTTGGCTTTTATGTACAGGGTCTTAGGTAGTCCAGCTGGCTTCAAACTGGCAACGGAGCCAAGGATGACCTTGAATTCCTGATCCTCTTACTTCTACTTTTTAAGTGTTGGCATCACAGGCATGCACCATGTATGGATCTAAGGTTTTATATGTAGTATCTACATTTTTGTGTCATTACTTTGAGAATTACTCATGTCGCATATATCAATAATCTACAGCTTTTTATTGAGAAATTCGTATTCCATTGTATGGATATACTAGAATGTATTCATTTATTTTCTGCTGATAAACTTTTGTGTTGTTTCCAGCTTGGGGTTATAGTAAAGCTGTTGTGAATGTTTATCTTTTATGGATGTTTGCTTCATTTCTCTTAGGTAAATACTTAGAAGTGAAATGGCTGGATCACATTGTAGCATATGTTTCTAACAATTGTCACAATATTTCCCAAAGGCGCTATACCATTTTACATTCCTACCAGCAAGGTGTGAGAGTTCTAGTTCCTCTATGTTTCTCAACGAAACTATTATCAAGTCAACTTTTTAACTGCAGCCATTGCAATAAATATTTCACAGTAGCTGATGTGGTTTTAATTTTGATTTACCCAATGATTATAAATCCCGATCATTTCCCACATAGCCCCATGATATTTGTATGTATTTGGTAGTGTTTGTTTAAATCCTTTTGCCCATTTTTGCATTATGTTGTTAAGTTTTTTTTAAAAATATGTTCCTTATATAATTCTTTACCAAGAGGATTTGTTTTGCTATTTTGTTCTCCTAGTCAGTTTCTTGTTTTCCCATTCTCTATATAGTTTTTGAAGATTAGAATTTACAATTTTCTTCTTAAAAATATTTTATTTATTATTTATACTTTTTATGTATTTTGCCTGCATGTAGGTAAGTGCATCTGTGCACATGCATTGTCCACGGATGTTAGAAGAGGGTGTTGGATCCCCTGGAACTGGAAAGATGGTTGTTAGTCACCAGTGCTGGGAACTGAACCTAGGTCCTCTGCAAGAACAGCCAGTGCTCTCAACTGCTGAGTCATCTCTCTAGTCCCAGAATTTACAATTTTCTTGATGTAGTCTAATTCTTCTTATTTTTCTTTGATAGACTGAATACATTTTTGGTGTCGTATCCAGGGAATCCTATGCCCAACCCAGTACTTGGTTGTATTTTCTTCTAGCAGTTTTATAGTTGAGGATTTTTGCATTTAGATTCTACCAACTATTGAGCTAATTTTCATACATGGTAGAATCAGTTTCCTAAATACAACCTACATCCTAGTCAACCCAACTATCAAGAAATTTACAACAAGCCATGTTCTGTGTCTTCACTAAGCTTCTGTAAAACATGTGCTACTGGCTGGTCTTTTGAAAGTCTAAGCCAATAGGATACAATAGCTCCTCTGTGCTGTCCCATGCTGAAATGAACTTGTGGTAGAGCCATTGGTCCTGGTCCCCTTTCTCTCACCCTGCTTCTGTGAATCTAGTCTCTAAACTGTGTGGTGTATCACAGCCATATAGCAAAGGGCTTGTAAGCAAATACTCTATGAATAAAATAATGATGCCATATTCATAGCCAATTAGCAAACAATCCTGAATTGCTACTGAGTAAACACACAGAAGTCCATTTTTAATTAAAGGAACATAAAAGATCCAGAACCAACAGGAATGATAACTATTATAGGACTTGAGCCATATCACTTTTATTCCCAAAGAAAGTGCCAGCAAGCTTAGAGAGCAAGAACATTCTTTAAGACAACCATAATTTTAGGCAGTGAACTTTTAGTTAGCTGCAACAATTTCCATGAGTCACCAACCCAGAGCTGGAGTGTTTTCCCCAGCACTCCACTTGGAAAAAAGATAAGGCGTAGGGGGAGGCTGAGTCATGTTGAACGTTCCCCAAGCATTACTGTCTAAAAAAGCTGAAAATGTTCAATTAGTTTCATGTTTGGAGAGGAATTTGGTCATCATAGCAGAATCTTCTTTTCCAAAAAATGAAAATGTTCTAAACACGGATATTGATATGAACTACCTTGATGTATGTTTTAATAGCCATACTATCTAGCAAATCTCGAGGCCATCAACCATAGGCAAATGTGATATCTAAGTGGAACGTCCACCTTGAACTTGGGAGTGGCAGGTAGTATAGGTACCCATGAACACTAAGCTATAACTTTTCCAAAGCACCAATTCTCCATTGAAATGGGAAGGAATACAGCTACAGCCTGACTCCCTGCAGCTAGAGAGGTTCATGGCCTGATTCTGGAGCTATGTTGGCCATGTCTTTTCACCTTTCCACAAGGGTTCCAAAGTCACTGGCCCCTTTGTGGGGGATGAAGGTAGGAAGAGGTAGGTAGAGGGCTTCTGAAGAAAGAGTAAGATGGCATACTTCCAAATTGTGGAAGGGCAGGAAAGCAAGCCAGGTTAAAAACCACAAATGGAGACAGGTGGGGACCAGCAAGATGGGTCAGCAGATAATGTTGCTTGCTGCATAAACCAGGTGACCTCAGTTCAATTCCTAGAACCCACTAAAAGGTGAAAGGAGAGAACCAACTCTAGAAAGTTATCCTCTGGCCTCCACATGTGTCCTGTGGCGCATGTGTGTCCCCTTATACACACACGTACACAATAATAAATTTTTAAAAATAAAAAAGGGTGAGGTGAGAGACTAAGCCATATTTGTCTTTTAAATTATACAGAAGCCTGGGACAGTGTGGCCACAGTGGCCAGGCCTCTTATATCGTCTAGTTCTTTTCATGTAAGAAAATGAAGAAAATGCCCGGATTCTATGAATAGCAATCGCCACCTGTCACAGCAAGAAATTATGCAATATGTCTTCTTACTATGTCTTCTGTCCAGTGTCTGTCACTTCAAGATTATAGTAACTGTGGTAACCATTCCACCATCAAGACCCCAGGAGTTCAAAGGCCATGAAGGGAGAACAAAGTCTTGACTTCATCTCAAATGTTCTCTGATATTGTCTGCTCAGCATTAATGCAGGCTAAAATGCAAACACTCTTATACAACTGATGTAATTCCAAGCCATGATCACGATATGTCAGCAGCCACAGTGTGCCCTGTGTTCACAAGCCAGAGCCAGGCTCTCTTGAATAACGTCCTTCCTACAACTGACAAGATTACATCACAGTCAAACTGCATTGCTTATGATGCATTAGGTATTGTTTACTTATGTAATTTTCCATTCACTATTTATTTTTGGACTGTGGGTGACCCTAGGTAACTGAAACATAAGGGGACTACTGTGCCAGCAGGTTTACTCCTTATACATCAGTTACTGCTTTTGTCTGTCAATCTTGTGACTAACGCTTTCAGAAACCTCCAGAAGAGATAGAGGAGACCTGGAGGGCTTTGATGGTACAGCTTGCTGGAGGCACAGGATCTCTGGATTTCCTCTGGCAATGCTCCAAGAGTAAAGAAACACTGTAGTCTCTACAGGCAGACTGTGGCACTACTGCACATTGACATGTTAGCATGCTAGATGCGATGGTTCTAAAGAATATATCATGGCCTTATCATTCTCCCCCAGAGGTTCTAAGAATACATCTGGAGGGGCTGAAAGACTTCTTTTCCCTCACATGGGGCTCAGAGAGGTGCTCACTCTTTCTTCACAGCATAGTTTCTTAGCTTAGTTTTCTAAGGATGTAACTGGAGAAAGCGTTTTTAAAGTGTGTTCAGCGTGCACACCTACAGGGGACTTAGAATTCTGCCTTGGATCTCTGCACATCATGATCTCATTAGAGAAGCACTTGGTCTGGGATAGCATCCTTTCTCTGAAGTTTTATGGCATTCCTTTGCCTTTACGACTCTGCTTCTAAGACTCAAACATTCACCCAAGGGAGCTGCATGTTCAACACAATACGCCTGCTCCTCTAGTAAAGACCCGAGTTTCTGCTCCTGGTAGAGCTAAGTGTGTCTCTACACACAGCACAAACCAAATGAAGCATCCTATCCCACTGTACCCTACTTGTTATAAGATAGGAAAGTCAAGGCTCGCATAAAGAGCACTGCACTAATCCTAGAGCCTACAAAACGCAATCTGGAAGGCAAGTAGACAGTGCACGATTTCTTGGTTACAGTTTCACTGTGCAGTATCTTCAGAATTCAGGAGAAACAGATGATGGATTGATGAATGAATTCGTAGATATGGTTACCAAAGAAAAACACACAAGGTTCTAAATTCAGTGTTCCACGAAGCTTCTATTCCAAATGAGTTTTTCATTCCTGACATTACGGATAATGACTTCTCATATTCCAAAGTCAGGCCATCTTTTCAATTTGATCTAGCTAGGCAAACAGATGACTGGGTGGATAGCTGACCTTACCATGGCAGATGTCTTCATGGAGAAAAGCCTTTTTTAAATATCTGAAAGTAGAAATAAGATGTTCCTGGAAACATCTTGGTATTTACGTAACTGCCCAGGAGAAAACTGACCTTTGGATTCGTCACTCACTAAATATCCTGTACAGTTTGAAGTCTGAAAAGGATTAAGAAAATGACCATGGAACTGGGGCTTACCTTCAGAAAGGCCTTCTTTTCCAAAGTGTTCATGATAAATGGAGGGATGGCTGGAAATAAAATAGATCCACTTAAATCTTTATTTAAGTCTATTTTCAGCTCACACTTTTCCCCTGCCAATTTGATAAAAGGCTTATGTCACTTTTAGACAATCTTTACACTGGCATAATGAAAACCACTTGTAGTAATTCTTTAAATGATTAAATTTAGGTTTATTGATTGTTTCAATACTGTGTACAAGTACTGAATTATCACAGCATGCCTCATAAATGTATCCAATGAAACTAGTAATAAAGTAGAAAATTAATTCTTTTAAAGTAAACTGAAAACTGATTACATCCTTCAGAATTTTGGAAAACTAACGTAATATTCTTTGATAGCCATGAAGTTTGAATCTTTGACAGAAATCTACGGTTAGCTTTAATACACAATAGTACAGATGTCAGCAACTTTTTCCTTCCCTGTTAATAAAATGAACATAATCTTCCTTGAGTATCTACCATGCAGGGAGGACCATCGAAAAATCCTGCTTCAGCTTGGGTAGAAGCTACTCAGCACATGCTAGACCACCAGGGACTGTTGATCCTGGAACGCTGCCCAGACTTCTCAGAGCCTCAGGTTTCTGTCTTCCTATCTATGAAACGAGGACCTAAGTTACATTACTCTGGTTATAATGTGTCAGGCAGCACTAGTTCATTAACATGCAACTTGTATCAGTTTAACTAAGTCAGCTATTTCAATACGCCAATTATATTTTCACAAATTTCACTGGCACAGAAGATGGGGTTTCTTTTCTGGGGATGAAACAGTGTTGAAAATAACCAAGCTGCTGGGAATGGAGTTGCCAGGTTGACTGACTCTTAAAATGGTCAGACTCAAACTCAGTGCAAGAGTTTGCTGGAGCTGAAGGGAGGCTGGGGGTGCAACACTGTTTTATTAAGTCTGGAAATCAGGGATTATAAGGTATGTTAGGGGGCTCTATAGCCTTGTCTTTGGCAGTAACAAGCATGCTGGTTTTGAACTCAATGGAGTTTGTGTACCTTTCATTACTGTGGTTTCCTACATACCCTCATAGAACATACTGGCATCCTACAAGGGCACAGAGGGGTGCCACTGTTTACTCAGATAATGCTGTTCTCCCCCAGTTAGCTGGAATGCAAGCTAAGTCATTGCTTGTCTCTCAGTAGCTATGGGGATAGGTTCCAGGACTCCTTGTGGATCTCAAAATGATGGATGCTCAGGTTTCTTATATAGACTAGGTTAGTATTTTCAGATAATGTACATATGACCGTCTATTGGCATAGTCAATCTCTAAATGACGTATGACATGCAGAACAAGGTAAATCCTATATAAAGTTATACTCTATTGTTGAGAGAACAACAGAGAAAAGTGTCTGGAAGTGTTCAATGCAAATGCTCTTCTGATATTTCTATCTGTGGACGATGGACTCTTGGATACTGAACTGCAGACACACAGGGACAAGTGGAAGGTATTTCTCCATTTTCCTTCATGCACTTTTCTTTCACTCCAACCAGCCAGCTAATGAGCATCATGTGACAATAGCCAAAACATGGGTGTGCAAACATGACAGCAGTGGACAGGTATGCTTCATCTGAGAGCATTCTTTAATAGGCAAGTGCCATTTAATACAGCTTAGCTGAAAAAATTAAGCACATTAATTTCTGTTTTATTTTGTTTTTCCTGTGGAGAACGCCATAACTCCTGGGCCCTGTGATTTCTGAGTGTCCGAGAACCTGCTCTTTGCCCTTGAAGCAGCCTGATGAGTAGATGTGAAATTCTCTGAGGGTCTTAATAGGATGCAGATTTTGTTTCTGCTTATGCTCACCCCATCCATATGGAGAACACTGTGTAGCCGCCCAGTATACATTTCCTAATAGCTGTCCTAAACATTCCCATGTGCTCCATGCTGAGGGTTTCCAACGGATACACTAAATCTTCAGTGGAAGTTACCTCCATAGACCTTAAATGCTTCCAAAATTTGTACAGTTCGCATCCTGCCCTTGTCACTCATCACCTCCATTCATTGTTCTGGTCCAACCAGCCAGCTTTTCCTGCCTGGGGTGCTGGGACAACCTCCCAACAGTCTCCTCTTCCCGTGGCTGGATGCCTTTAATTTATTCTCAGCACAGCACCCATATTCACGCAGCACAATCAAAGTTGGATCTTGCCTCTTCCATGCTCAAAACTGTGTGTGGCTTTCTAGCCCTCAGACTAAAAGCCAGAGCTTCGAATGTCTAAGTAGCCAACCCCAAAGTCTTTGAGGCCTCTTATATCCCTTTATCCATCTCTCTGTTCCAGCTGCACTTGCCTCCAACACAAAAGGCAAGCCCCCACTTCTCTGTTGCTGCCAGCTCTGCCTTGGGTTCACTCCTGAAGAGGAGTCACTCATACCTGCACCTCTACCCAGGCCCTAGCCCATCTGCCCTGCTTCCCCCATCCCTTACATCCCCTTAGCTCATATCAACCCTTTCACATACAAGTTAAGCATTCCTAACTAAAAATATGAACTCTGAAATGCTTCAAAATCAGAAACTTTTGGAGAACCAAACACTGCCCCAAGTGAAAATGTCACTCTGGACTTAGGTGACTGATTGGTCAGAATGCTAGCCTACAATATGTTTGCCACATGTATAAAATTACTAGAAATATTGCATAAGGTTAGTTTCAGGCCATATGTGGAAGGTGTACATGACACATAAATAAATTTCATTTAACCTTGGTTCTCAGCCCCAAGATAGCTCAATTATGTGTGTGTGTGTGTGTGTGTGTGTGTGTGTGTGTGTGTGTGTGTGTGTGTGTGTGTGTGTGTGTGTGTGTGTGTGTGTGTGTGTGTATACATATTACCAAATCCAAATAAATTCTGGATCTTAAACACTTTTGGTCCTAAGAAATAACATCTGTTATTAGGTATTGGATTTACATGTTCACTTGCTAGCTCCTCTACAGAATGTAATTTTTCCCAAGGGGAGTGATTTTTGTTGATGGATACATAAAAAGCTTGGTACGGACTACCTGACAGGATGGGCAAGTCCACTCACCCATGCCCGGGGCGGCCATGAGGATCCTGGAGACAACAACTTGCGTGATGGCTTGTTTTGCGGCATTTGTCGATTCACCCAAGCGGACGCCATTTTCATCTGTGACAGGAATGCCGACTTTGAGTTCCCTGAAGGGCAGAACACATGCAAAGGAGTTTGCAGATGCCTTCGGGTGGCATCCTGGAGGAGGACTATGTTGGGAAAGATCAAATGCCTCCTTCATCCAGTTTCCCACGCAAGTGTCACTTTTGGCACTGACAAGTCTATTTTTATATACCATGAACAAGTTCAAACCTCTTGTGATAGACACAAAAGGAAAATAACACCTGGGATACTTTTTTAAGAGGGCGTATCTTTTCCAATAATAATATGATTTGAGGGGTGGATATGCTAGCTTAAAGATAAGGTTAATTTCTATGCTCATGTACAAATTTGAACAACTTTCTAAATCAGAAATAGATATAGTACATAGCATTGTTAAGTCAACTCAAGCACTGACACAGTCACAGGAGCACAGTCCTACTGGATACTAATTACCTTGGGTGCCAACACTGACTGATAGCGGAGCTCCTGTTGTTACCCTGTTTTTTATTATTCATTCCAAAATGCTTATTCTTTCTTAATTTTTGCCAGTTCTAAAAAATTTCTTGAAAGATATAGATTAATATTACTTTAAGCCACATAAGAAAATTCCAGGGGAAAACAAAAACCTATGCCAGAGCATATTCTTTCTTTGCAGCTATTTTTGCCTAAGGCAAGCGAAACTGGGTATAAGCTTGAGATGTGCCTTTGGAATAGGAAGACTATTCTAACCCTCTAGGAATGTTTTCAGCCCAATTCAATAATAACCCAACTGGCCCATCTTCCCCAGATTTCATATAACTTCATCTACATATTACAAGAGACTCTCCTAGCAAGCCTAAGTCCCTGCTAAGAGTGTGCGTTAATCTTACCTTTGCCTCATTAATGGAATATTAATGCAATTAGCAGCAGCTACAGCAGCAAAGGGAACAAAACGTCCTATCAGTGGTGAGACGTGCTGCAGAAAAGACAGTTCCAAAAGTATTATCTTTTCCTGGATGACTGAATAGAAAGTCTTATCTCTTTTAAAATGCAGCCATCCTGGCTGTCTAGAAACTCAGGCCAAGAGGACCTTCAAACTCGCTGCCTGGTGTATTTTATATTTCTAGCATGGGGCATTCTGAGACAACGCACCCTTCTAAGACACATTGATAACTCAGTGTGGTTGAAAGTATATGGACTTTAGAGTCCCCAAGTTGCAACTTTAAGTTCAGATGCAAGCTCTTCTGCCTCTTCAGAGGCATGGCCCACAACATTCCTTGGTCTTAAGAGGGCTTCTAGAAAGAGGCATTCAGTACTTAACACACCGCTGATGGTATTAGTTATAATCCTTCTCAAGCTCATTAGAAGATATAATTAGAATATGCAGCTGAAGACAATGACTATAATAACGCCAAATGACTAGAACTCTTCTGAGGAATAGCAGAGAGACTGAGAGCCAGACAGACGAGAACAAATTAAGAAGCTCTGCCATGGAAACAAAAATCCAAGTACCTTGGTTAATGCATTAAGTCCTAGGGCTGTTACCACAGCACCAGTTGTTGCCGAAACATAAGCTGTTCCCAACTCACTGAAAAGAATAAAGACACTGTAAATGATGGGTGCACACCAGGAATCTCAACCGGGGAGCTGAAGAAACATGGGGGAGATGGAAGAACAGCATTAGAAAAGGAGAGGCCCCAGAGCAACATCCAGGATCACTCCACATTAAGAGACAGAGGAAACATACCCTTAACAACACACTAAAACCCCCAATAATCAGACATATGGACTAAGCGCTTATGGTGGGTGAGGAAGGACAGGAGCGGTATGTGGAAAACTACAAATGGAGGAGGACATTGGGCTACGTGGAGCATATTTGCTCAAATCAAAAATATGACTCAAGGGGCTGAAGACACAGCTCAGTGGTTAAGAGCACTGGATGATCTTGCAGAGGACCCGGGTTTTATTCTCAGCACCTGTACAGTAGCTAACAACCATCCATAACTCCAGTTCCAGGGGATCTGATACCCTTTTCTGACATTGCACGTGGGCATTGTACAACATGGGTGTACTTACATACATGCAGGCAATACACTCATACACATAAAATAATAAATAAAATATTAAAAAACATGTGACTCAAAATATTAGAGTACATACAGAAGGTAAAAATGCAAAGCTTCTGCTCTTAAATGTTATTTTATTATATAAAGACACTACAAGCTTTATCTGTAAAGAACAACTGAACCCCAAGCAATTCTGTCCATTATGAGAAACACCACTGGGTGGCAGATTTCAACACCCTTCGCTCCATTTGGTGATAGAATATGGGCCCAAAGGCAATTTTCAAAGCTAAACAAGAAAAAACACTTTTCTTCTAAGTGTTATGCAAGTCACATTAATACTTTTTGTTTAATCAATCTCTTTAACTAAAAAAAAAAACCTTTTTAAACAGGTGATGCATTCGTAAGCTTATTGCTTTCTTTTGGACTCTAGGGATGAGGTACTTTTCAAAGCAAAGTATCTCTAAAGGCCATACCACCACAAAGTCCCTTCGTTCTGTTTTGAGGTTGGTGGCTTTGACTCATGCAGGACAGAAGGGAGTCATTTAGCAGAGGCCAGGCTCCAGGGCTGCCTGCCGTGCCTTCTGCAGGGCTCTGAGCTTGGGATGTTGAGAGACAGCATTCTCCCAGCACCACTAACAGCAGGTACCATGTCTGGGAAGGCAAGACAAAAGCAGACAGTTATCCTGATACAGAGGGAGAAGAGACACTGTAGGAATGGAGAAGACTGTTTGAATAAATGGAAGGTTCTGAATAGGAGAGTTATCATCACTCCATCAATGCACACGGGCGAGGGCAGGACAGGCAAACCCCACAGCCTTACTTCACTGTAAGGGGAGCATCTCCGCTTCTGTTGGTGTAGTTGACGATAGCATTGAAGGACTGGTTAATCCACTGCCAGAAGAGCACAGCCGGAGTGGTCCTGAAACAGAGTGAGTCATCACACACCCACCAGCACCTGTGAGCAATCCACAGCCTGCAGAAAATGTGAACACTGGCCACCAGCAAGAAGGGGCACTGGAGAGGGGCCACAGCTGCAGGCTTAGGGCCTCTGAGGTCAAGCAGACATTGTATTCCAATCAATTTCCTTATCACCAAGCTCAGAGTGTTTCTATCATAAGAAAGTCGTAGAGAGCCTGGCAGAGCAGACACAATAAATGGTAGGTCCCTTCTCTTGGGCAAAAAGCAGCCATCTGTAGGTGAAGCAGTTTGGGCCTCTCCTAACTGCATCATATGGGTCAATGTATGAGCATGTCTGTGTCTCTGTCTATACCTACATGAGAGAGAGAGGAGAGAGAGAGAAGAATTTGCTTATAGACTGCTTTTTCTCTGTCTCATTTTCTTTTGGTCTAAGACTTAGAGAAAATGTCAATCTCCTTTTGAACAAAGATACTATTTAGCATCTTTAAAGGTAAAATACACCTTTAGATGCAATGGATTCTTTTCTTTGCTATTTTATTTTGTTTTGGTTTTGAATAAGAGGCTAACTCTGTAGCCCAGACTGACCTCCAACTCACAGTAAGCATCCTGCCTCAGCCTCCCGTGTGCCTCACCTAGGGGCATGAGCCCCTATGCCCAGCTAAAACAAATGCTTATTTGCAAGTATCACAGCAGACCTTCTGCTTAACAGAGTGGCAACATCTATTCAAAACGGCACTGAACAGGAAATGGTATCTTTTATGTCAAAGCAATACCACCTCATTTTGTTAATTTTTTTGTGATTGTTAATTTGAGACATTTTCAGCTATACAGCCAAGCTGGCTTCAAACTCAACATCCTCCTGCCTAAGAGCTGGAGGTCCAGGTGAGCCTCTATACCCACTTCCATTTTATTCTCAACTGCTTTTATTTTTTAATCTAAAAATTATTAATTATCAATTAACACTGATGATGAATTACTATTTGTTCTAGCTTTCATTCTATTGCTATGGCAAAAAACACTGATTAAAGCCAACTTGGGGAGGAAGGGTTCATCGTATCTTATTCTTCCAAGGACAGTCCATCACTGAGGGAGGCCGTGGCGGGAACTTAAGCAGGGCTGGAACCACAGCAGAGACCAGGGAGAAATTCTGTTTAAGGCTTGCTCTTTGATCTGTGCTCAGCCTACTTTCTTATACAACCCAGGAGGACCATCTGCCCAGAGGCGGCACTGCCTACAATGAGCCGGGCCCTCTCACATCACTCAGGGATCAAGAAAATGCCTCACAGACATGACCACAGGCCAATCTGATAGAGCAAATTCCCAAATTGAGGTTCCCTCTCCCCAGGTGTGTAAAGCTGACAAAGCTATACAGAACATTATTTATTTTTAAAATTACATTTTATTTGTTCAGCGTGTGCGCGCGCGCCCAAATGCACACACAAGGAGGCGCGCACAAGGAAGTCAAAAGATGACTTTCCGGAGTTCTTTCCATATACTATTTGGGTCCTGGGGCTCCAATTCAGGCTTGGCGGCAGTGTCTTTACCCACTGAACCCTCTGTTCAATTCTAAATTTTAGTTTTTATTGACTGTATTTACAAGGTGTTCTGATACGTTGTAGAACAAATTCATCATTCTCCTTAACATAATTATGACATTTATTTCAGTAATATTATTTACATACAAAAATATACTTTGACTCACTGTGATAGCAAATGAACAAACCACTGTCACCACCATAACTCACCTATAAAATGTCATCATGCAGCCCGTGATAGTCATGTTCATTGGCACTTGAGCAGACATTCTTCCTATCAAAATCATCTTTTCACCCGTGTCAGGATGGAAAGCTGAATCATATACGTACTTTGCTCTCCACAACTCATTTTCTGTGAGGCCTGGAGGAATGACTCCTTGTCTAGAAAACAACAATAAAGAACTTAACAAGGGTTCCTTTCAAATATCTCTTCAGGGCCTGCAGATAAGGAGCAAAACTTCACTGTGCCCCTGTGACATGACAGAATACAGAGAAAATTACGGAGGGTGGGTGGCAACTTATTCCTAATATTTGTTCATTTGGGAGGACTGAACCCAGGGCCTCACACACTAAGTGCACGTTCGATCACTGACCTATACTCCCAGCCTAAAATATAAGAACAAAAACACAATTGCAGTGAACATTTCAAACCTACTCATCTCATTATCTGTAATTTGGAGAATAACAGAAAGTAGCTTGCATATTAAGGAGTATTCAACTTTGAAATATTCATTGTTTTAAATGACATATTAAAAATGTAGTTTGAACTTGGAAAACCCTATTTTTAAATAATTAGACCAAGTTATGGGAATCAAAGATATGACTTCACTTTAAACCTGTAGTTTGAAAACTTAGATCAGGAACCTGTTAGTGAAAATGAAGGAAGAGGTACATCATTGGTTATATTTTTCTCCTCATCAAAGAAATATTTCTATTGTCAGAAATTTAGAGAATATACAGATTTACTGGGACAACCAAAATCATTCAGCTTTTATCTACCCTTCGCCAATGGTGATGCTTAGGTGAGCACATTTTCAGTTTTACTTTGAAGGTCCAAGTAAGATGTATTTATGTAGAGGAACTGCACCAAACCAGATGCTTACTAACCACTGTTTTCATTCAATATTTTAAAGTATTTCTTTGCATCTTTACATATTCTTCTAAATCATCTATATTGGGTTGAATATTAGCTCCCAAATTCATGTGCGCACCAAAGAACGGGACACGACTTTGTAGATGTAATTAGCCAAAGTAAAATCCTATTGGATTAGAGTGGTCGCGAAATCCAATAAACGGTATCCGTGTACACACACAGAGAAAGCAGCGATGTGATGGCAGAGTGCAGTGATGCACCTACAAGCCAAAAGATGTCAAACAATTCTGAGTTGCTAGTACCTAGGAAGAGGCAAACAGGATCCTGTGAGAGCCCTCAGAGTGAGTGTGACCCCACTGTGCCTTGACTCAGACTTCCGGCCTCCAAATTGGGAAGAACACATTTCTGGGGCTTGAGCCATCCAGTCGTAGGGAACAAACACATCATCCTTTAAATACTACAGGTAAGAGTTGCACAGTGGAAGTGTGCTGGGCCCATAAATACTACAGATGATTCCAATGTATGAGTTTAAAATAATACAGCAATCTCCTAATGTTGGGCATTTAAATTCTAATTTTGTCATTTGTAAAGGAGGCAGAAACAAATAAGTTTTCCTCATATCCAAGATTGTTTAGACAGAAATGCAAAACTAGCTAAAAAGCAAAAGCTATGTAAAATAAGAAAAGTTGATAGGTCCTTTATCTTTTGAGTGCATCTGAGTCTGTTTGCTTTGGACACTGGCAGAAACACTGCTAGTTATATGATTCAGATGTATAGAAGCCCTGTGGATAACTAGCCCCAATTTTAATTTTATTGGTTGTGCTATTTACTGTCTTGTGTTGTCAAGGAGGAACAATTCGATTCCTGTATAGAACCAGACCTCGCCAGCTTGGGGCTGTACAAACGTCTATCTACACATCGCACATTTTCACAATAGTTTTCTTCTTGTTTAAGTCTTTAACTTACTTGGAATGTATCTAAAGGTATGAAAATGCACAATCTGCCTAGCTCTGCTTCCCAGCTGGCTGGCTGCTACCAGCTGAAATTTCAGGAGCAGCGGGCTTGATTTCCAGGCCTCTGCTGCATTCTTGCTTACCTGAGCACCCTGTGGTTCACCTACCATTTCAATGACAGCACATCTTCATTTTTGCAGAGCAACTGCTGTTCCCTCTATTCTTTCAAATACGCCTCAGTTACTTTACACTCATTATTTTCTAGAAAAACCTTACAACCATTTTTTAAGTCTTATAGGTGATCTGAATTGTGACTAAAACTGTATGAAGAGAAAAGTGGAGATTCTACAGCATGAAGCCTTCCTTTCCATCCAGCTGACTCTAGCTAGTTACATTGTTAACTGGTACACACTTAAAAGTGAACTTGTTCTCAGGTATCTTATACATGTATTTCTTTTTACTTAAAAATTATGTGTATGTCAGGGCTAGAGGGATGGCTCAGTGGTTAAGAGCACTGACTGCTTTTGCAGAGGACCTGGTTTCTATTCCCAGTACCCAAATGGCAGGTAACAACCATTTATAACTCCAGTTCCAGGGAATCCAATGCCTCCTGATCTCCGAGGCACTGCACAACATAGGTGTACTTACACACATGCAGGCAATACACTCATAAATATAAAATGAAAATGATAAAATATTAAAAAAAAACAACTATGTGTATGTGTGTTTATACGTGGGTATGTGCACATGAGTGCAGGTGCTCAGAGAGGCCAGAGCTGTCAGACCCTCCTTGAGCTGGAGTTACGGGTGGTTGTGAGCCACCTGACATGGGTACTGGGAGGAATTGAACTCAGGTCCTCTGCAAGAGCAGTATGTGTTCTTAACCACTGAGCCATCTCTCCAGCTCAATGTCTTATGGTGTGTAATTGTTCTTATGAATGTGAACTGTTGGTATATGTACATACTAATGTCTTGTGTATATTACAAGCAGCCCCTCCATCATATTTTATTTGTTCTAGGTTTTAAGTAGATTAGGATATTATTAGTTGCAAGATAAAATTCTTTCAAAAGTTTTCAGAATCACGAAGATAAACATGCCCTGGCCTCGTTCCTCAACCCTGATGAGCCTCCCTCCCTGTACTATTTCCTGGGTGTGTTCTCTTGGATATTAATAGATGTTATGGGAAAAAAAGAAAGGGCTTATGTTCAAGCTTGGGAAAATGGATTAAATAGCTTTTTCTTTATTTAAACTCCTAAAGATTTTGAAAACTTAGAAACTATCCAATTGGATGATGTGATATCCTCAAGACTGGAACTTTCCCAAATCTAATTTTGGAAAACACCTTTTTTTCTTACTTTCCGCAGTCTTTAAAGTTCTGCTTTACTTGCTCAGTGTCGTGTGGTACTATAACTGATGACTTGGAATATGTATTATCTTTGTTTTAACCATCCTTCTTTTAAACATTTGTCACCAGGAGATCATAAAGAAGTGAACACGGGCTGGAGAGAGGGCTCAGCAGTTAAGAACATCTGCTGTGTAAACTTGAGGATGGGAGTTCAGACTCCAGCACTTACTAAGAAACTGGGTTTCATCTGGGCCTGTCCAGGATGGTGCAGGCTTGTATCCTCAGCACTGAAAGGGGCAGAGACCAGGCAATCACTGGGGCTTGCTGGTTGCCAGTCAAGTGGAAAAAAGCAAGCTCAAAGGAAAGACAGAGAGTCATAAGAGGACAGCTAATGTCTACTTCTGACCTCTACTCATCCATGTGCATGCACACCATACACACACCTCGAGTGGACATGTAACACACACACACACACACACACACACACACACACACATACACACACAGCAGGCTTACTTAAGTTCATATGACCAATCCCATGAAAACACATTTTTCATCTTCTTTGCAGCCTACAGCACTTATTTAAATTTAAAGGAGCAAAATACTTGAAACTTTTTTTTTTTACATTTTATGGGTCATTTATTTTCAGAGATGTTTGGAATGTGTGTAGATAATAGCAATTAATACACATTTGACAGTCAGAGAGCATTTCAATTTTAAAAGTTTTCTCAAAACCTTGGAAATACATGGTTCACTGACCATTAATACTTGAAACTTTTTAAAAAAATTATTTAATTCATACTTGAGAAACTGGTTAAATAAAAAGCCATGATCGAAAAATATTATGAAATTTATAGAATTACCAAAATGTTACAATATTGTTTTCCTTTATAAAAGCTTGGGATATATATTCCTTATCATCTTAAAGAAGTGTTCCACATCCTTAGCTAATTAGTTATTTTATAAGAAACACTCTATGAGTTGATGTGCTTTGGGGTACCTGTCCAGTTGTGCCTCTCTACTTTGACAGACCAATGTGATAAATTATACTAATAAGTGTCTTCAAATTTAGACCAATGTGATAAATTATACTAATAAGTGTCTTCAAATTACATCACATTTTCATTCTTGGGATACATTCTTCTAATTTATGCTGTAACACAAGGTTGGATGTGATATGACAGTACATTACTTTGGATTTTTGCATTAATTTGTGAGATGGACAGTGGTTTTCTTTTAACATACACTTATTATTTACCTACATAGTAGCAGGGTGCCCACTGAGGGGGGAAGCAACCCTTTTCTATATGTTTTCATACTTTTTTTTTTTATTCTTTCTTCTTGATTTATTTATTTTTATGTGGCTTTTGGCTACTCTAACATTCCCCCCTCTGAAGAGGTAACCCTAAAATCTTTTAAGTATTAGATACAAGCTCCCAAATACTTTCCACATTTTTGGCCTTTGAAAAGAGTATGTTGCTAAGAGGCCCAAGAACATTTTGACTTTACAGCCAAGAAACTGGCTACTTTTCTTTGGGGTCTTTTTACCCTAACTGCCTAGCCAGTTCCTACATCCTATTCTTATCACACCATCCTCTGAAGAGGTTACCCAAATTGCCAATAGGGAATAGGGATACAGACCTCTCTGGCTTCTTCCATGCTGAACAGGGACTCAGAGAAAGGCAACTGGAGTACCCCTTAAGTGGGTCTATCTAAAAGACTTCCAAGTTGCATAACTCTTATCTCTAAGTGGAAAAGAAAGTCCTGGAATCATGAATAGATGTGAAGAAGTAAAGGCAAGAGTAATTAGCATTACAAGTTCTAGACAGGGAACTAGAAAAAAGTCAGAACAGGGCAATTTTCAAATGTTCATATGAGAGTCCACTGGAATTTCTTGACAAGGGCTTCCAAAAGCATCCCTCTATTGGATTCCTCCTCATTTTTCTTTTGTCTTTTGAGGCTGGACTCTAGAGTGATGGATTCAGGATT